CAAGCAGGTCTAATGGCCCCCACCCAAGACGGCTCCCGGGGGCCCAAGGCCGTCCAAACGGCGCCCAAGAGGCCCCCAGGACGACCCAAGAGGAGTACAAGAGGGCTCCAAGACGGCCCAACGCGCCCCAAGAAAACACAGGACCGCCTAAGAGCGTTCAAAGATGGTTTCCGATGGCCTCAAGACGGCCCAGGAGGGCCCCAAGAAGGTCCAAGAGGCTTCCAAGAGAACCCCCAAGAGGGCCTGAGGAGGCCCAACAAGAAAATGTGTGGTCGATTCCCTCCTTTTCGGGCCAAGAACGGCCCAGGGCGGCCCAAGAGGCCCCAAGGATGGCCCCAAGACTACCCCAGAGACCCCAAGAGGGCGCCAAGACAGCCCAAGAGGACCCCAAGACGGAACAAGAGGGCTCGAAGACGGCCCCAAGAGAGCCCCAAGAGGGCCCCAAGAGAACCCCAAGAGGGCCCAAAGAGACTCCCACGAGGGTCCCGAGAGGCCCCCAAGAGAGCCCCAAAACAGCCAAAGGCCTCCACGACGCCCCAAGCAGCCCAAAAGGGCCCCCAACCCTCCTCCTCGTCCTCATCCTCGTCCTCGTCCTGCTCCCTGCCTCATCCTGAAGCTTCCTGCCTCCTCCTGGCGCCTCCTGGTGCTTCCCTTTGCCTCCTGGAGCCTCTAGAGGCTCCTGGTGCCTGGCCTCCTTCTCCTCATGTCCCGGCCTTCTCCTCCTGCCTCCTGCCTCCTCCTGGACACCTTTGTGGTGCAAAAACTGCAAGGGAGTCTCAGGCTAGGGCGCCTTCCATGAGGTGCGGGCCCTCTCTGGCCAGGGCCTTTCGGAGCAGATTGTGAGGAAGTGTCGCGCCTGAGCGTTGTTGAATTGTCACTACTATTGTTGATCCCCCTCCGGTGACCATTATATTTTTTCAATTTCAGGGCGTCCCGCAGGACTCGCACCCTGTTTTTGATCAGTGCAAGTCGCAGGGCTCAAATTATGTTGTTGGCTCCCGGTTTACAACAACAGCGGCTCCCGCCTGAGACTTCCTCACAATTCATTCCCAAATCGCGCTCTCGCGCGGGATGTTTTCACAATTTGTATACGAATCGCGCTCTCGCGTGGGACTTCCTCCCAGTTTTTGTTGGACGATGCGCCCTCGGCTCTCAGGATTCACGCTCTCGCTTTAACTTTGCACGATTTTCTCAAGAATCGCGCTATCGCTCAAAACTTCCTCGCGATTCATGCAGGCCCACGCTTCAGCAACCCGCCTGCTCGACCTGGTCGCCAGGGCCCGCCTTCAGACCTGCCACCTATGGGTCTGCCCACCCGATCTGCCCGTCTGGTCCTACCACTTGATGTCTGCTCTTTGCCCCCCTCCTGCTAATTTCTCTCGTGCTCCATTCTTCTCCCTCCCCCTTCCACCCGTCCTCTCTTCCTTTGTTCTAGGGGCTGCGCTAAATACACGTGGCAGGTAAGGAAGATATGTCCCAAAGGCGGTACGATCGAAGATGACGAGGGCTGGTGCCAAGGGTTTGGGATGTACGTATTTATTGGCACGTGAGCAGATAGGAGCGAACAGTCTTAAACTGATTGTTGTTGAACTTTCATTTCTGAAGAATAATTATTGCTGATCCCCCCTCACCGGTGCACACTGTTTTTTCTCCAAAGTGTGCCCGTCAACGCTCGCACCCTGTTCTTTGACAAGGGGAAGTCTTGATGCTTAAACTGCGCCCCTGGCTCCCGGGTTACAACAACAACGGCTCCCGCTTAAGAAGACTTCCTCACAATTTAGCCAGGACCCCGGCTCCCGCCCGAGACTTCCTCACATTTTGTTCAGAAATCCCGATCTCGCTTGGGACTTCTTCACAATTTATCAAGGAATCACTCTCCCGGCGCTCTGGAGTCGCGCTCTCGCTGGAGACTTGCTTGCAATTTACTGAAGAACAGCGCCCTTGCGTTGGAATTTCCTGCAATTTACTCAAGCGCCGCGCTCCCAACACCCAGGCACCCAGGAGTCGCGCCCGTTGTGACCCCATGTGCATGCCGTTCGTGGCCCCGCTGTCGCCTCTTGTGGCCCCCTCACTGTCCTACATGGCCCAGTTGCTACCCTCAGTGGCCCCATCGTTGCCTTTTGTGGCCCCGCATTATCTGTCCTTCGTGGCCCCCGCTCGTTCGCGCTCTTCGTGGCCCCATACGGATTACCTTCGTGTCCCCGCTGTCGCCCTTCGTGGCCTACTTCGTGTCCTTCGTGGCCCTGTTGTCGTTCTCTCTCGCTTTCGCTCGTCGTCGCCGTCGTCGCCGTCGTCGTCGACGTCGTTGTCGTCGTCGTAGTCGGTCCCCTGGTCGTCCCTCTTGGGGTCGAGTCGACAGTCCAAGGCCGCCCCGCCGATCAGCGCTGCCGCTGGCCAGGCCGACGGTCCGCGGCCGCCCCGCCCCTTGCCGGGGCCCGGCCTGCAGGGAAGAAAGGTATACCCCCCCAAAAAGGTTCGATCGAAGACGAAGGGGGCGGGTATCGAGGGTTTGGGAAATAGGCGTTATTGGACACTCGAGCAGATGAGTGCGAACAGTCTTACAACGATTGTTGTTGTTGTTGAACTCTCACTGCTGAAGAATAATTTATGTTGATCCCCCCCTTCCGGTGCACATTGTTTTTTCGATTGAAGTGGCTCTCCTTGGGCTCGCACGCGTTCCCTACCTAGGCTCTGCCTAGAAGGGCTCTTACTTTATAAGCTTAAAGGGCCGGGCGGTGTTCCTCTCCCCGGGCGGTTCCCCCGGCATCCGCCCCGCGTTTCCCCCAGTCCCCTGGGAGCTTTATGTTTTACTTTAGTTTTAGGTTTAGCTTTGGCTTTAGCTCAGCTTTAGCTGAGCTGTACCTTAGCTGTACCTTAGCTTTAGCTTAGCTTTTGCTTAGCTTTAGAATAGCTAGCTTCAGCTTAGCATTACCTTAGCTTTACCTTAGTTTTACCTTAGCTTTACCTTAGCCTTGCCTTAGCTTCACCTTAGCGTTGCCTTAACTTTAGTTGTAGCGTCACTTAAGCTTAGCTTCAGCTTAGCTTAGCTTAGCCTTAGCTCAGCTTTAGCTTAGCTTTAGCTTAGCTTTCGCTTAGCTTAGCTTCAGTGTAGCTTCAGTGTAGCTTCAGCTTAGCTTTAGCCTAGCTTTAGCTCAGCTGTAGCTCAGCTGCACCTCAGCTTTAGCTCAGCTTTAGCTTAGCTGCAGCTTCGCTGTAGCTTAGCTTCAGCTTAGCTTTAGCTTAGCTTTAGTACAGTCAATACTAATGCTGCTTTCCTAGGGGCTCCAACTCCTAGGTAGGGTCGCACTGGGATATTTGTCAGGGAGAGTCTTGAGGGTCAAACTGTGTCGTTGACCCCCGGTTTACAACAACAACAACAACAACAACAACGGCTCCCGCCTGAGACTTCCTAGCGATTTAGCCAGGACCCCCGCTCCCGCCCGAGATTTCCCTGCGTTTTATTCAGGAATCGCGCTCTCGGTTTGGATTTTCTTAGAATTTATTTTCCCGGCGCTCTGGAGTCGCGCTCTCGCTGGAGACTTGCTTGCAATTTACCGAAGAATAACCCTTGCGTTGGGAATTCCAGCAATTTACCCAAGCGCCGCGCTCCCGACACCCAGGCACCCCTGAGTCGCGCTCACGTAGGACTCCCCCACAGATTACACAGGAATCGGGCTCTCGCTGCCCTTCGTGGCCCCCTCGCTGCCCTTCGTGGCCCCCTCGCTTTGTTTCGTGGCCCCGTTGCAGCCCTTCGTGGCCCCCTCGCTGCCCTTCGCGGCCCCGTTGCAGCGCCTCGTGGCCTCCTGGCTGCCCTTCGTGGCCCCGTTGCAGTCATTCGTTGCCCCCCGCTTTGTTTCGTGGCCCCGTTGCAGCCATTCGTGGCCCCCTCGCTGCCCTTCGTGACACCGTCGCAGCCCTTCGTGGTCCCGTTGCAGCCCTTCGTGGCCCCCTCGCTGCCCTTTGTGGCCCCGTTGCATCCCTTCGTGGCCCCCTCGCTGCCCTTCGTGGCCCCGTATATGTATGCCCTTCGTGGCCCCCGCTCGTTCGCGCCCGTGGTGGCCCCATATGCATTTGTCCTACGTGCCCCAGTTGCTACCCTCAGTGGTCCCATCGTTGTCTTCTGTGGCCCCGCATTATCTGCCCTTCGTGTCCCCCGCTCGTTCGCGCTCTTCGTGGCCCCATACGCATTCCCTTCGTGTCCCCGCTGTTGCCCTTCGTGGCCTACTTCGTGTCCTTGTGGCCCTGTTGTCGTTCTCTTTCGCTCCCGCTTTCGCTCGCCGTCGCCGTCGTCGTCGTCGTCGTCGTCGTCGGTCCCCTGTCCGTCCCTCTTGGGGTCGGGTCAACGGTCCGCGGCCGCTCCGCCGATCAGCGCTGCAGCTGGCCAGGCCGACGGTCCGCGGCCGCCCCGCCCCTTGCCGGGACCCGGCCTGCAGGGAAGAATGGTCCACCCCCCAGGAAAGGTTCGATCGAAGACGAAGGGGGCGGGGATCAAGGGTTTGGGAAATAGACGTTATTGGACACTCGAGCAGATAAGGGCGAACATTCTTAAACTGATTGTTGTTGTTGGTGTTGTTGGGGGCCGGCTTGGGCGCAACGTCGAAACGCTGGAGCGTGATCCTCAAGCTCCCCCCCCCAAAAAAAGCAGGTGGCGCAGAGGCGGGGGGACCATGATGGAAACAGGGGGTCCAACAACAGTAGTTGTTCCGTCGCGAAAATTTCAAAACGAAGACAAACAACAATAATAATCTGCACCTCGGAGGCCCACTCCAGGCACGCTCCCAAGCTCGGCTCCCCCATTCTGAATCACTTATGAACCCCTTCCCGAATAAGAACTGGGAGATAGGACGCGCTCCAAACCAGCTCGGTCCAGCGGGCTCGTGGGACTTCCCTCCCGAGCGAGCCGCCGAGTATCCAGTCCATCGTCTTTATCTGTCCCTTCCCCCTTCCATCCTCAAACATGTTGCGGGGGTCTCCTCGAAAGGAGGCTGGAGGATATACAGCAGGATGAAGGAGATTACCAAGAACATCACTGGTTTCCTAGATCCGTTGCAAAAGTTCGTGGACGAACGCGGTCGCGTGCACAGCTCGCTGAACATTATGACGACCACGGGTCGGCTGGCATCTAGCCGCCCGAACATGCAGCAGCTCCCAGGGCCAGGCAAGGACACCTACGGGGTGCGCGAGGCGGTGAGGTGCGCCGACGACCGCAGGTTCATAGTCGCCGACTACGGGCAGCTCGACTTGAGGGTCTTGGCGCACATGACGGGTTGCGGAGATTTGATCAAGGCTCCCGAGACCCCATTTGAGAGTGATTCTTGTTACCCTCTGGGCCACATGTCGCGTTATGCCCCCTACCCTCCCTTCCCCCCATAACGTAGACCTTTCCCCCCATCAATGCGTATGCGTCCCCGACACTGCTTCAGTACGTCCGGCACCACAGTCGGGGGGGGGGGGGGGGGGGGGGGGGGGGGGGGGGCCGCTACGTTATGCCCTCTCCCGTCCCCCCCTCCCCCCCGTAACGGCCGCCATGGCGGAGAATGAAGGCAAGTGCGCGCCATGTCGTAGCAGCATGGCTTCAGAGCGTCGGGTGGATGTGCGGGAGCCTCGAGGCCTACCGTGGCGTTGTATGGTCCTTAAGGTTGATGACATTAAGTCGGGCATGTGCCTCTACAGAAAGAGTATTCAAAAATAGTCAAAAATATTCAGGGGGCGATTTTCTTACTTTTTGAGTTTGGATATGGTTTGATTATTTTTGATGTTTCTTCCAAAATCCGCCTGTAGGAGGACATGCCCGACCTAAGGGTACCATTGAGTGGGCTGAGTGTCGGCGGAGATGGTGCCAGAAGCAAGCCGGATGCTCGGCTACTCTCGTTGCGTTGCTCAGACCATTTCTGAAACCGTTCATCGTTACAAGAAATGTTGTTCGCGTAAGCTCCCGCAAGTTGTCATTTAAGTTCCAAGTGTGTCCGTCCATATCTTCACTCGGGCCACGGGGCTGGCATTGCGAACGACGCGGCCGCATCCCCAAGACGCAGCACCCGTCGCAACGCGCGGTTGCAGCAAATTGCACACACCGAGGACCCTTGTGCCAACCACCTGAAGCCCTGGCCCCCGCGCATGCTCACTACACGTATCAGCGCCATGTAGGAAAACCGTGCCAGAACAGTTTCGGTACGGTTTTGTTTGCCTCACGTTTCGCGCTCGCAGACGCACGAGCGCACGCGACAGCGCCGCCCGTAAGCAGCCCTGGGCAGTCTGCACCAGGCGCAGGCATAAGCACCCCTCCCCTCCCCTCCCCTATAGAGTAGATCTTGGCCGTTTTTGGCGCTGTTGCGAGCAGGTGGAGTTTCCCCATAGGACGCACTTTTGCAAGCAGTCGCATTCAGCAGAGGTCTGGAGCCAGTCCCCCCCCTCCTCTCCCCCCTTTCCGCCCAATGTCGAAATGCCGAACCAGAAAACGCTCACCAGTGAGATTCGTAACGTGTTACTGGTTGGTGGTAGTAGTGCGCACTCCTGCCCAACATGCGTCTTCCGTTTTGTGCCGTCAGGCTGGGGATGGGCGCGGCGTGATTGGTGTGGCAGCGGCGTTGCGGAACACTACGCGGATCAGTGCAGCTGCTTTTGGCACAGTGCGTGATGTGTTCGGGTGGGTCCCATAAGTGATCCTTGTGCTTGAGGCGTTCGTGGCGCCCCGGGCTGCGATTCTCTTTGCCTCCTAGATCGGGTCCGAGTAGATGGGGTCGGAGGATCGTGCTGCATCGCCAATGCATCGGCGATGCGGCTCGATGCGGAACCCGATTCTCGCCATGCTGACGGCGCCGATGCATCGGGGATGCCTCTAGACTCTGGGCCGCCCTCGCGGTGCAGCTATCGACCTGAAGGCGCCCAGTCCGCCTATGTTTGTGCGCGGGTGGCTTTGCGCCAACGGTTGGAACCCCGATGCGCCGGTGACAAATTACCTTGCGACGTGCCCAACCCATCGGCATCAAAGGGAAGCAGAAGGTGTCCCGACAGTAGAGCGACAGCAGCACTGCAAGCCGAGAGGGATGACGACGACGACGTCCGCAACGACAACGTCCGTGACGTCTCGGGAGCCTTGGTGTCACCGCCGAAATATAGGGCGACGAGATCTATGCATATCCACTGATCCTGGCCAGGCCAATCCTGGGCCCAGGAGCGGTGTATACGCCCTCCTGGCCTGGCCAGGGAGGCATATACACAGCTCCTGGGCCCAGGATGGGCCTGGCCAGGAGCAGTGGATATGTATAGATCTCGTCGCCCTAAAATATGCCCCCGTTGATTTGTTTTTCGAGGTTCGCTCGGGCCCACCGCATGCGCATCTGCGACGGCCAGCTGGGAGCGCATCTGCCGAGGGCGCGGCTGCCGCACGGGCTCCTCCTCCGAATTCAGTACTTTCAGGAGGGAAAAAAACACACAGACACAATTCATCGTCGAGTCCCAGGAAAATATGGGAAAATATGGGAATTGGGGGGGAAGACAAAAACCCAGAAAATATGAGAACATATGGGGACTATTTTTATTTGTGTGTATTTATTTGTGTGTCCTAATTTCCCTTTATACTTAGTCGACCGCGTGCGACAGAATCACAGCCATCCATATCAGGCAATTGCCATAGGAAACGTCCCTAACACGACTCACTCCGCCAACAAAACACTCAGAATCGAACACGTAACTGAATAGGTTTGTTTTACGCGACTGGTAAGCAAACGTAGACATATTCATACACACTGACGAACAAATCGAGCCCTTACCATTGGAAGACAAGCCTGCCAGGGGAGCAGACGTCGCCACAACATCTGCATCTAACCCGCCAACGTGGAAAATGATGGTGCGATCGCGACGCCCTTCAGGGCACAGATTACAACCTTGCTCGCACTAGGGAATGTTGATGGGAGCACCCACGTAAATACGAGCCCCGATGCGCACCACTGCCGCTGAACTCAACGGGGCGCATGTTTTTTGTTATTGTTGAAACTGTGTGATAGTGGCGCCCTCCGAGGTACAGACGAGCAATGCCAACATCGAGTCAAAATCCGAAACACTAATGAGATGCCGATGCATTTCGAGACACACATACGAACATTTTGAACACCGCGCCGGGCGGCTCGATTCAGAAAGTAAGCTGGGAAATTGGGGATGGAGGCGAGTTCCGACGGAGATAGACCGACGAGTGGCAATGAACAGGGAGCGCTTTTTTAAATACATGCGATAAAGACGCCTCCCGAAAAACAGACGACACACAGGCGACCGGCTCGCCCCGCACTACATGTTGGGAAACACAGCAGATCCGAAAGACAAATTTCGTCTAACATTTTTTTCACGGTGGTAGTTCAGTCTGGGTGGAAGTGGCCCTCCACCGACGAAGAAATGCAAGGACACTTGCGTAACAAATGAGCCGTGCATGTGAGGGAGACAGTAGGTCCGAAGGACAATTGCGTCTCGCAGTCTTCCAGGTGGATACTTCGGCCTGGGTGGATTCGGTCTCTCTCCGACGCAAATGCGCGCAGCGTCAAAAGCTTGGCCTGACCCGACACGACGAAGCGAAGTCGATTGCAGGTCCGAAGGATAGTTGTGTGAAACAATGCGTTGGGTATGTGGAAGAAACAGCAAGTACGAAGGACAATTGTGTCTAACAATCCTCTAAGCTCAGGATGGCGATGTATCTTGGGGGTCTGCGTGTGGCCCCGCTGTGTCCCCGCCCCCAGCAACCTTCAAAAGTGGCGACCGCTTCGCACTGCGCAGCCCCCCGCGGGATGGCGACGTCTTTTTTGTTGGATGAGCGTGGGACCCCATTGTGTTGCTCACCTAGCAGCCCTTGAAAGTGCGACAGATTCATATTTCGCAGCCCTTCAGGGATGGCGAGGTCTTTTTGGGGCATGCGTGGGGCCTCACTGAGCTGCCCCCCCAGCAGCCCTCGAAAATGGCGGCAGCTTCGCACTTTGCAACCCACAAGATGTTCGAGGTCTTCGTTAGGTTTGCGTGGGGCCCCATTGTGTTGATTCCCCCAGCAGCCCTCCAAAGTGGCGACTGCGTCACACTTCGCAGCGCTCACAGGGATGGCGAGGTTTTTTGTTGGGTCTGCATGGGACCCCGCTGTGCTGGCCTCACCCCAGCAGCCCTCGAAGGTGGCGGCCGTTTCGCATTACGCAGCACCCCCAGGGATGGCGAGGTTGTGTGGGGGGTCTGCGTCGGACTCCACTGTGCTGCCACCCCCCAATATCTTTCGAAAGTGGCGACACCTTCACACTTCGCAGACCCCCCCAGGGATGGCGAGGTCTTGATTTGTGTTTGCCTTGGACCACTGTGCTCCTCCCCAGCAGCCCTTAGAAGTGGCGACGGCGTCACACTTCGCGAGTCCTCCTGGGATCCTGCACTGTGCTGCCCCCCTCAGCAGCCTTTAAATGTGGCCACAGTTTCGGACGACGGCAGGGCAGGGATTCTGTAGCAAACAGGCACGAGTAACCGAGCGACGGACCAGAGAAGGAGGGAGAGGGGAGGCGAGAAAAAGAGGAGGAGGAGGAGGAGGAGGAGGAGGAGGAGATGCAGAACCAGGTGGAGACCCCACAGCTTTATTCAAATCGAAACCTAACTAGAGTAGAGCTGGGAAAGCAGGGGGCACGAGGTCCACGCCGCCACCGCTCATACGCCGCTGCCGATCCTGAGATCCGCGCGCACCTTGAGTGCGGACGAGGGGGGAGGAGGAGGAGGAGGAGGAGGAGGAGGAGGAGGAGGAGGAGTAGGAGGAGGAGGAGGAGGAGGAGGACAAGCTAGGTGCGCTCGCGTCATATCTGACATCCTTCCCCTCCCTCCCATCCCTTACCATGGCGCAGATCCCCTCTCTACTCGCACAGTCGGATGTCGAGCAGGGCAATGATCCCGAAAGGGTACGCGATGCATTGTAGAGCACGGCGTGGCATGGCGTAGAAGAGCACCGCGAAGCGTAGTATCAACCTAGCATTGCATTGCATGCCGTGGCATGGCACGGGAAATGACGCCAGCGCTGCAGCGGGAGCACGAGTCGAAACGAGCGGAAGCGCGGAAATGAGGCCAGCGCTGCAGCGGGAGCACGATTCGGAACGAGCGGAAGCACGCCGGAATCGGCCCGGGAGGCTTCCCGGGCGCCAGAAGCAGGAATTCAGCATTTTCAAAAGAAAAATGTGTATTGGAATGGCCTTTTTTCGGCGCCGCCTCGGAACTCGATTTTGCGGCGCCGGCCAGAACCGGCTCCGGACCCGGCCCGGGCGCCGGCCCGGGCGCCGGCTCGG